CAATTCCCTAAAATTTAACTTAAGAACCAGCTTGCTTAGGAATGCCTTTTTAGTTCTTCATTTAGCTGAGCAAAGTCAACCATTTGGACAAAGGCAGTAAAGCACGCACGCACCTAAACACTAAGGCTGCACTATAAACGTTGGACTACAAATGCTAAAAACTAGCTTCTGGAAAAAACACCACAAAAATTGCTCCTTATGATTAGTGGGAGGAGCCAGTCACAACATCAGCAATGGAAAACTCAGTCTTTTTAGCAGCTTTGTTCCATTACAGCATACCTGGCACAAATGGCAAATCCACAATCTCCAGTTCCAATGACTAGACTAGTTTTATGATGAAACAGAGAATTTTTCTACTCCAAAGTACTGCGTAAGCAATCTTTCCTGGTTTATTATTCCCTATCACCCAATTGTGAATTATGCAGCAAAATTTTTTACTTTGACTTTAAGGCTTCAGAGATCCTCCCTCAGCTTCCTGTCAAATATTGGGCAATAATCTGATTTCCCTGCAAATCTGCATTAAAATTCCAAAGGCTAAGTTCTACTCTCTGCTGTATCCACCTCCAGAAGAATGAATATGAGGGGAGGGAAAACACAGCCCACAGTTCCAGCTAAGATTTCTGTTGTTGTACAGCCACAGTGTAATAGGCACTCACGACTACCAAGAATTATTAGCAAAATAATAAACTATTCTGCAGGAAAGTCAACAGATCACCTCCATAAACAAGGGAAAGGTATCTGTCGAACAAGAAGGTCTCTTTCACACAGCTACTTTTCAGAACAGAACCACACTTGAAAGAAGATAAGTGACCGATTATCTTTTGTCTCACATTTACAGACAAGCATGAGACATTCTTCCCCACTGAGGTACAGAACCAAAAGAGGTAACGATTCTTCACTAAAGCCTCTAAAGGAGAAAACGTCACCAACTTCTCGCTCATTTTCAAACATACTATATAGGCAATTGGTGCGAGGCTCACCTAAGTAACTAAATCCAAATGATCTGGCTGATATTTCTGTTGGTTCATTGGACTATATTTCATACTCTGTTTTTGAGACCAGTTATACAATTACCAGGCAAAAGCTGTGCACAATAGAAGCATTAGCAAGACTGACGTGATCTGTATCAACAGGTGCCAGCAAAGAGTCTGCCAATTTCATGCAATTTTACTTCCAAAGCCATTATACTAGTTGGCAGTTTACCAAACTGAAAGATATGTTTTAACCCCGTGAAGCCTGAGTATAATTATAGTAAACACACAACAAAGCTGCACCTCAAATATTTATGATACAACAGTTTGAGAGGGGAGTGCCTATACCATAGCCAGAGTGCTGTACTCGTACTGCTGTGTGTCCAGAGCACCACATTCAAGGCTATCTGAAAAATCAAAACAAAGGAATTTAAGCCACAGAAACTCACTTCCAGTGTACTTGGTTTTAAGTCTCCATTAAGCTCTACTATTAATACTTTGAAGTTACAAGGAGAGTATATCACTGTTAAAGAACAGAAAAATAGATCCCTACAAGAAGGAAATCAGCTCTGAAAACAACAGAGATAATACATAAAATAGAGAGGATCTCTATTTTAGTGTATTTTTCATGATTTGACTGGAAAGAGACTTTATTCCTAGGTACCTTTCCCATTTATTTTCATTTTCTCAATGACAAAAATAAAAAATTAATAGGTGGTTTGGGCCCATGGCACAGTGGTACGTGGAACAGACTCCATACATACCCTGCTATTACTACCACTCTTGTTATCGCCTCATAACTCAGTACAAGAAATAGCTCCAGGAATGCTTAGCAACCCAGTGCATCCAATCAACTAAAGATCACTAACGGCAGCACGTGAAAGGCACGCAGGAATGGAGCGCCAGGGTACAACCCGGGAGTCCAAATCGAGCACGTAGGAAAGAGCGCTCTATTCTTTCTCTATCAAAATTCAGTGGCCAGGGTCCAGGCTCTTTGGTAATATTCTTCTCTGCCGCCCTCTCTCGCTGCGACTGCGCTTCCTGCAGTGAGCTCTACTTTTCCACAACACACCCACTGAACGCTACTTCCTCAGGACAGAGTTCCCCATCTACTTAAGCGCTGCTCAGCTGCTCTCAACTGACTTAAGAGTTCCTCTGGCTTCTTTAATACTATATTAAAAACAAAAAAAGTCAAACCAATTTAAATGCAAAGACTCATTGCAGATAATCCACCTGTCACATATAAATCTATCAGTCATAGGATAACATCACTACAACAAGAACTGAAATTGTCCCAAATCCAGTCCAGAAAATTAAGATTTCTTTTCTTCTTTGGGTGTTCAAACACAGCTCTTCTCTCCAACTTCCTTCAGCTGTTGCATAAGCATACTAGAGAAGTTTAAACCTAATCAAAGGAACACCTTTCTCCTATCCATCACCAAGATGATACCTTGAATTCACAATCATGGTTTCAACAAAGTGTTTCATGACATCATTGTGGCATTTTCCTTATAGAAACAGAAGCTCCGCAGAGCCTTTGTCTTCTGAATGACTTAAGAAACAGTTGTACACAGTGGATCAAATAGCTACTGTGTTTGAAACAGCAAAGGTCCATAAGAAATTCAGAAAGGCTTTGAACACTGTTAGATCATCACTCTGTTTCAAGGAGCTTATTTTCCACACCTTAATCACTTCATGTTTCAATTACTAAAACTTTTTTTGTGTCTGCTAAATCTCCTCAAAATATAACTGGGGAAGATATCAACTACTATAACTGTGTGTTACAAACAGGTAACGCTTCTTCGATTTCACCGGTAAATTCCAGCCTTTCACTGAACCAGACCCCAAACATTGTCGTCTCCACACAATCACTTTTTTCCATGTTACCCTTACACCCGGAACATCCTGCTAAATGTCAATTAACTGTCTTCTGTGCTTTTCCATATCCTTCCCCATGAGTATTTCCTACTGCAGACCATTATTGAAGCATTCCTTATCTAAGCCCTTGTCACAGATTTTGTCAGTATTGTGAAGTCCATAGGTACAGATCACGTTCATACACAGGTATCCAGTATAAAGACAAATAATCATGTCAAAACAGTCAGACATCCTTTTGTCTACAACACTCAGACATGATGGAGTAGAACACAGATTTTATGGAAGTTTGAGCTAAGTTTTTTTAAACATAATGCAAATGGTAGTGATGAGAAAAGAATAAAGGTTAGGTAATTAATTTGGGGCTTCTAGGGGTAGGTTAGTTTATAAAACTATTACATAATTTTGCAATCAAATTTGTTGGCAACAGCACCTCACATCAGAAATGAAATAGATCAACATGTAAAAACTCCAGCAAAAAAGAATTCCTACCTTCGTCTCCTTCTGGCGCATAGGAAGCTGTAATAATGTCAATGTCAGCACAGTTCATCACAATTTGGTTGGTTGCCTGTTTCACCTGGAAGAGAAATTTTATGAGCATCAGGAAGAAATTGTGTTCCCTGCTCTCTTAGGTAGGCATTCCCACCTCTCTTTAATCAAAAGCCCCCTCCATCATCAAGAGTTTGAAATAAAATTTAGTGCCTGAGACTGGTAAAAAAGATATTCCACTGACTGCTCTCATTTGTTCCAGAACATGCGTACTTGAATCGTGTTCAAGCCATCCAGGCCTACTTATCAACACTAAATTATTTAAGGGAATGAACTGCCTGTTAAAAATCAGTATGTAAGCTTGACAACAGGGCCCTTGTACATGCCTGGGAATCCAAGACCAATAAAAATAGATAGAAGAGCCTGTAAGCTTCCTTTTAGAGATGACCTACAGGAGACTATAGTAAAAGCCTTTGAACACAAACTTACATCTTTCAGAGATGATCAGAAAGAGAACCTACGGTACTGTGTTCTAAACTGTCGACACTGTAAGAACTTCTTAGGTTAAAAACATCTGCCAAGAAATTCGCCTTTACATTTTCCTGAAAGCTTTCCTTCTGCCAACTCTTGGCTACGCGCACTTTGCTTTATTTAACAAGTGGCCAGCTCCCAGCGTAGTAATGAACTGTCTCACTGTGCCAGCTTTCTATTTGGATGCAAGAGCTCAAATACAGAGAAATTAAAATTAAATATCAATTAATTACAAAGGGGTAAAATATTTGGGAATTAAACTAGAAATTATTTTAAAACTTATGGTTGAAACCACTAGAATCATCGCACTGGATTGAGCTGGTAGTCCTGCTAGTCCAGGATACAGTTTCTAGCAGTAGATAACGCCAGTACTTTAAATAAAGGAGAAACAATTTCTGTAACAGCCAACTAGAGTTTAACATATGCACAAATGAACTGCTTCCTACCCCAGAGAGTAAGCTCCTTAAAGCATAAGGACTTGTATCCTTTGGGTTTTCAATCTTATAACCTTAAAATGCCCTATTAACACCTGTACCCACCACTCTAGCTATCCATGCTTGAACACACAGCAGAGCCCAACTTCGTGATGGAAACTGGTTCCCATGAATCCAGAGCTCCTTTGCCCCTGTAGCAAAATCAGCAAAGTGCTCTCACCATTCAGGCATCTGAATGTAAACGCGTTTATTACAAGGAAAGCCAAAATAATAATCCATGAAGTTTTACAGCTGAAACAGATACTTATCACTCTGCCATAAAGGAGCTGGTGTCTACACAAGATGAGTACATGGAAGCAGATATTCAGTCTGAAGCTGTTCTACCTAGGCTCGCTACCTAAGGAATGGTTCCTTAGTCATTGTGTACATAAAAACCAAATTCAAGTCTAGTCAGTGATAAGAGAGGCTTAAGAAATTTAAATGTATAACTTAATAGGCGTACCCACATTCTAAGAACGGTCCATCTAGTCTGATAATCTGTGAACCGAAGGGCCAATACCAGATACTCCAAGGAAAGCCAGCCCCCGCAGTGGATGGTTAACACAAGACAAACCTACCTCAGAAGTTTCTTTCTAACCTCAGCAAATGTCTTTGGCTTATTTGCTTCTGAAGCAAATGTCTATGGCTTATTCCTATTAACAGAATTGTTTGTCTAATAAATAGTACATAAGGGCTTATACTTTTTTTACAAGAGTAACTATTAGTGCATCTTTCCAAATCCTGCTTGTCAGTCCTCCTGCAATGGTGGGTCCTACAGAACTGTGCAGAACAGCTGTGGTGGTTTCACCATGTTGCCTCTTTATGGTAATAAAATCAAAACAATGTTACCTAATAAACTTAACCTGATTCTAAAACCAACATGCTTGCAAAGCATAAAACAAGCAAATGTAACAGCTGAAGTGACACAGGTTAGATCTGATGGTTCTAGTAGATTTACAATCTGGGCTTTTTTTAGGTTTTTTTTCCAATTTGGTGTGCATCAAACTAAAGGATTACAACACTTCCCAAAACCTAAGATCAAAGCCCAACAATTTTCATCACAATATTAGGGATTGAGGTTTTTCAAGGTCTTCTAAAACACAGAAAAACCAGAACGAGAAAAGCTTTTTATAAATGTCTAGCAGAGACCTTTATTCAATCTACAAATCCAAATCTCTCCGGATTAAGAATTCAAGATGCATAAAGAGCTGTCCAAATTGGAGACAATACTGGGTTTAACAATAGGCTTGATCTTTAAAAAACAACCTCTTCTGAGGACAGAAGAATTTTCAGTGTAGCACTGTGCCTGCAAAATAAGAAAGTTTAGGTTTAAGCAGAGGCAACTTCAGAAGCTCCTTAGAAAGGCAATTACCTATTTTAGATTTTTTTCTTACCTCCTACAAATACTGAGCCAGTTTTACAAAAGAGTGCAACATACTAGAAAACATTTAAAGGGACTGAGTGAACCAGTGAAAAAATGTTAGCCCTCCAACTCCCAAAAAATGAAGGGCAAAATTCAGCATGCAGATATGAATATCGACAGTGTACTGTACAGCACACTTCTGAGGCTCTCATAATTTAATTCAGTGAGGAAAAAAAGAGTTTTCATGTTGACACACAGGCTCTAGCATGACAGCCTCCTCCCTCTGATCCACTAAAAATAATGAAGTACAGACACACCTCTAAGAACAAAAGCAAAACAGAACTATAAACCGCCCAGCATACTTAACTTATGACCACTTTATCTTACAAGAACCTATAGCCTAATGCTTACATACACCATGTATATCATGAAGATGAATGAATGTGTTTTACTGTAACTGATACCTTGAAACTGCTTTTACATTTCTGCTAATACTATGTTTTGGAAGACAGATATTCTGCTCATGCAGTGCTTTTCATGAATGCAATCACATTAAAAGGCAAAAAAGCATCTCACTGCATAAGGTGTAACCAATTACAAAGCTGTATATATGCGAACTGTCACCCTGCTTCACCTTGCTCTATAATACAATAAATTTACTCTTCAACAGGAAGAGGCTAATCAAGGCAAGAGCAAGCTACAAATGTCCACAACGAAAGTAATTTTGCCATAAGGCTGACATGCTTAGAAGCAGCAGATGAACTAAGACCAGTATCTGGAATGAAGAAATGTTTCAAAGCTTTAAACCTGTTGCTTTGGATGAAATTCTAGTAACACCAATCAGAATTCAAATATCTACTGAGATTAGCCAGGCATGGATACCACGAGCAGGTCTGCCCTGCAATAAAACTGCAGACCTTTAAGACTTTGTAACCGTGTCAGTAAACTGCTGTTAGAGTAAGATGAAACGCTCTTAACATCCACATTCATGCTCAGCAGTCGTTTCTGGGAAGGAAAATCTCACCCAATAGGAGATAACCGCTAAAGTTCCCCCCAAACGTTTTCCAAGGTAGCATCATTTGAGAGAAGAAGAGCTAAAAAGGCTAATTATTTGGCCAAATAGGACTTAAAGATGCTGTAAAGCTTTTGATTTTCACCAGTTATCAGAGCAGGAAAGGACTTGGTGGAAAAACCTTTTTAGGACATAAGAAATGAGAATTTGAATGGCTTCAGTTGAACGACAGCCTACCTGAAATACAGGATCAGCTGCACCAGAAGACATCTTCTATAGTCAAAACTAATTCTCTAGAGCCATTTATAAGACTAGATAATTAAAATCTTGTCACTTGGCTTCACAGTCCTTTTCTGAATGTAGCATTATAACAAGCATGTATGTTTTTAGCATTTTACTCTCTAAAAATAGACAACTAAAATTACCTCAGTTCTGTTCCAGGATGTATCTTTTTAAGACTTTCAAACTTCAATGAGAAAATGAATAAAATGTTTTATTCATCTGCATCTCAAGCAAATTATGGTAGCCAAGTAGTAAAATTACCAATGTCACGACTAATTGGCCCACTGGAAAAATTCACTTCATTCCAAAGAGCATCCAACTACGTTCATCTGTAGCAGTCACACATACTTCAGAAGTGTCAAATTCACACAGACAAGAAAAATCCCTTTGCAACTGTGATCAATGCAATCACCTTAGCCTGATGAATTACAGAACCGAGAGAGGCCTTTCTGCGGGGAGAAGAGCAAAGGCGTTCCTATTTGTGAAGCTTGAACACTCAGCATGGTACCTTTAACACCCAAACTCAGATCCAGTTCTACGTGCCGGTGATGCAAGTTACAACGCTGGATAACACGGCTGTATATTTATACTAGACAACATCCCCCCCCCCCAGGAGATACTGAGCACAAATACTACACCCATTTAGCTTAATTTTTCAAGGTTTACATACAAGAGTGTCACAATTAATCTTTAACTGGCATGCAGCAGGATCAGAAGACTACACATTCTTTAGTCTAGCAGATACTGCATAATTAACCTATAAAAAGCAACAGATACAGGTTAAACATTGCTAAATATAACAGAGTATCCTTAAGACATATTAAGGGGACTGCGAAAGATATTTAAAAGGGCCATCTACCTCAGGTTGTAAATTCTTTAAAGATAGGTTGCTTTGCAACCAAGAAACACCTCACTGTAGTTTCCCATCAAGAAATGAATCACCACACAATACTCTCCAAAGAGGGTAATTTATATAGAGGTAAATACCAGGAAGTCAGAAGACAACCATGCACCTTTCTGAAGCTCTGCACCGCTGCACCCTGTGCTGGACAGGTGATCGTTTGGAGTCGTGACAGCGTTAAGAACTTCCATTTAGAAGCTTAAAACAACCGTTGAACTTTACCAGCCAGATGTTTGTTTCTGTTGCTAGTTACTCACATTTGCCTTTTCAGCACGATGCTGAAGAACAGAACGGCCACACATCCCCTCTTTGTTCCAGCCCTCGGTTAGGCCTCCCAGGAGTCAACGCAGAATGGAAAAAAGTTGACCTAGACACTGAGTAATATGAGTGCACTGCACTGATAACTAGACCCTGAGAATCAGGGTTATAATAATTAAATCTCAAGCTAACAGATGAATAAAGTAGATGAACTATTTAAAAAAAAAAAAAATCCTAATTGTGCTCATTCAGAAACATCCACACACACCCAACAAATCAACAGTTTAAAATG